AATCCATCAATTAGTCGATTACAACAGGGTTTTGTCGAAACTTTCGGTAACTAAAAATCTTTCTCTCCAACCAGGTATGAGATATCAGGATTTCATTGGGCATAATATGAAATGTATACATTATTATTCAATTTCAATATTTATTTTTTATAAATTAATTTATTCTGTGTTTTGCAAGTTTCTTGAAATTATAACGATACACTTTCAGCTTGTTGGAAATGAAATCTTACACAAACAATCGTGCCATTACTTCGATTTCTTTGCATGACCATTCCTTTGATAGATTTTTTCGCAGCAGTTCGAAGGCCTATTTCAAACCTAATAGAAGTATCCACGTCTAGAAGAGAACCTAATCACCACGCGTATCATTCCCAAGCGAATGAATACCGCACCGTTAAATCACCCACCTGACGGAGAAGGTAACTCGAAGGGGTGCCTGATCGCCCGGGCGGCGGGCGGCGGGGCTGCGTACGTGATAGCCACCGGGTCGCCCAGAAGCGCCGGTCAAGGGCAGCGGCCCCCCTCCCCCGCCCCCTTTCAGGTAGTCCCCTGGCGGCATCTCGCCCCGCCGCCGCCGCCGCCTCCGCAGCCCTTCTCCGACATCCGGGAGGCGTAAATTCGATGATAAAGAAAGAGTTTTATTCCAGCGGCGGAGTGCGCGCTCTCCCACGGCTTTTTGTGGTCCCTACCCTCGCCCGCCTGCGGCCCACCAGGATGCGGACGTTTCACGGAGGAACGGGGTGCTTTCGGTGATAGCTACTACCCGCGTTCTGGTATTTTCGAAAAGGACTGAATGAACTGGAGAATGGGAGTCGGAGGAGAGGGTATGATCCCGGATGCGTTTGGTTGCAGCCTGAACCGAAAGAAAAAATAATGGATCTTATAAATGGAGGAAAATTATGTTGAAACCTTTCCAACGCGTAAGAAAATCTCTTATAAATGGACAGGAATGGAAAGAGATAGATAGAGAGAGAGAGAGAGAGAGAGAGAGAGAGAAGTTTCGAGATGTTACGTGATATTTTTGATAATGATATTAAGTAGTGAAGTGGTATTAAAAAATTAAACTTAATAGTCTAATAGAATGAGAACTTCTAGATTAAACATGTTTTCTTAAAAATAGTAACTTCTTTTTCAAACTTCTTTGCACAGTCATGTTATTGCCCAAATAAAAATCGGTTTTTATTTTTTACTTTCTAGATGTCACTGACGTGCTTTTTTACATTTAATTAGCAGCAAATGTATGGTAGATATGACGAGGAAGGGGAACACAGAAACATTTGAAGGAAAATAAAATGAGATACCGGGGAGAGCAGTTTGCGATTTTAACGTGCTTCACCATTTTCCATGTGAGATCAGAGAAGTAAATAAAATTTCAAAAGGAAACAGAAATACTGATTTTTTTGGATCAATTTCTTTGTAGAAAATTTTAGAAATATGTATAAAAATGTAATACAGGTTTTATAAAAAAAAGACTTCAGATGCGCTGGAAACAAGGTGTTTTTGTAAAAATTGATCAATAGTCCTTCTGAGAAGAATTATTTGTTTGTCCAAACCCATTGTTTGGGTGATGTCACCGATACCCGTCCATGCGGAAGTGTCGTTGGTTCCGAGAGGAACACACGCAAAGGCGTAGACCCTTTTAGGAAGGAAGCGGTAATTAACAGTGAACGTGATCGTCGTGGTAATACGTGTTGTTACTCCTCCCTTTAAGGCGCGCCAAGGGTGATATCTATTTTTATCATCTACGTGGGAGTTCCACGCACGTGATGGACTGTTTCAGTCAGGCATTACGAGCGATGTTGAAATAACAAACAACAACACCCCATTTAGAACACACGTAGGAAAAAATGCGACGTGCTTGACATTGGGGATTCTGTATTTACAACGCTTTAACCTTCATTACTGCAAGTATCATTGGAGATCATGTTAGACTCGAGAGTATTTCTCAGAGATAATGCAATGCAGTAGGCTATAACGTACATATATACTCTCCATCATTAACTATCGATTTTCCATGTTACATTCATCTTTACAATTCAGATTATATTCAGAAGAAAATTCATCAACAACAAAATGTAAAATATTCTATAAATAAATATATAATGAATAAAAGATGATATTACTTTAATGGTTATTTTAAGATAATTAGATATATTACTATTAATTTATTACAAAGTCATTTATGTAAAATATTCAAAATACTCAAAACACCAAAAACTCCAAAATGGTACGAGCCACAGGTGGTCTCGGCAGTTAAATAATTCGGATATGACACAAAAGAGAGAGATATTGGCAAATCAGAGCCCTCGATACCGCCAAGGCAAACACCATCCGTCAACCAATGTGGAAAATGAACTCATTCGACATATTTCGCGTCCTTTCGGCGATCGGTTTTTGCGTAAGTTGCATTGACAGCACACACACACACATACACACAGACAGACAGACACACACGCGCCTGGGCGCCGCGGCGGGAACCTGTCTCGGGACGCGGGCACGCTGACCTGGAAAGCGAGCGAGCACGGGCGACCGCGTGCTTACGTCACGGGTGAGAGGAGGGGAGAAAGAATACGGCAGGGGAAAGGAGGGGGCGGGAGAGAGGAAGTAAAGGATGTTCCATCGCCGAAGAGGTCACACCGGATTAGGCGGACTGAACAGGAAAACTCGGGCATTTCTTTGAAAGGGTGTACGTTCCAGTGAATGAAGAAACAAATGTATTCGACTGTTTTGTGTTTCGACTCGAAAAACCGTAATTATACAACGGCAGAAAATGTACGATTCAAGTGTAACCCCTTATGATGTAATTTCTTTAAATTTCATGACAAAAGAATCAACTTGCTTTCGAATATTATGTTCAGACACAAATAACTATGAAATTTAATTACCCTACTTTTGAGACGTGAACATTCTAGTGATTAACCTGTATTTCCTGAGAAAGAAAAGCGTGATTGCAAGACGAATAATATTTGTGCAGAAGTGAAAAGTCAAAATTTAAAAAAGTGAGCGTTATCAGGAACGAGAGAGTGAAATTCTCTTTGAGTTAACATTTTTGGTTTTTATTTAGCTATTTTTGTATTCGTAACAATCAATTACATAGTAGCTTTGCAATACCTCAAGAATATTTGTATGCAAAGCCTCCATTTAACAAATACAGATTTTGTTCTGAGGCTTTTTCACACATTTTTATAAGGTGAAGTAACCCTAGGTTCATAATATTAGAGATATACCACGACAGTAATAGGGGCGGACCCAGATACGAATTTTGGGAGGGGAAATTCAAAATGTTTTCATTACAGATTGTATGTCATTACAGATTTCGTAAAATGTCGCAGGCACATGTCGCGATTCGTTTTAATGATAATCTGAAAATATTTTTGCTTGACCTCCTCGTGGATCTGCGCGTGATAAGGCGATAGCAAACTTTTTCCTGTGAGAATGATTTTAATGCACTACAAATGTAGGAGTATTTACAAATTTCGTAAGAAAATAGGTTATAATTAAATATTAGAACTGTAAGTACAAAAGTACTTAGCACGAACAAGTATAAGGTAGTTCAGTTCTGAAACATTTTTTATATTTCTTGATTATTGTCTTTAATACTTTTCTTGAAGCAAGTTTCCAAACAATCAATTTTCTAAATGTACGAATTAAAGTGAAATTTAGAAAAATGACTGTCTAAAAACTAATTTGGAAAATTACACCAAGAAAATTCTGAAAACTTTCAAATAAAAATTTTACTTTTTAAAAGTATTTTAAAATATAGAAAAGCTCTAAGTAACCATCTCTCGTGCCATTTGACTAATAACATGTAACAAACTGCACAATTTCACAATTTTGTTCTGATTTAGCATAGACCTTATCACATTCAAACGTCTTAAACATAGTTCCCCTGAGCGAAAGGAAAGAAAAATTATAAAAGAAGCAGGATTACTCTCAACGTAGCTGCATCTCGGACGCAGGATGTGTCGAAATTTGTTTACGAGGTGGGTCTTTTGGCCTCCTGCCCCTCCCAAGCGACAATTTGAGGGTTGGGCAACTCAACGGCGGCGGTGGCGGCGGTGGCGGCTACTGCTTTGGCCTGCCATTTCAAGGTCGTTGCATGGTTTCGGGCTATCAAACGGGCGAGGTGGAGCTTTCTAATCTACGAACTACGAGTGTATTCCGGGCGCAGTTGGCCGTAAGAGATTCCGAGCAAACGGAGACGGGGATTTCTGTCACAAAACTGTCTGAGAAGGAGATTAGCGTCTGACTTGACTGACCGTCTTGGCTGAGAACGAAAAGGTATCAGAAGAGACATCAGCGAATTGACTGAATAAACATGTTAAAGATAACCTGACTTGTTATTTTAAGATCTCTAAAAGGTGAAAAAGCAATGACCGAAGTTCCTTGTCTACACTGGCATTGAAGTCGCCACGAAAAACTGAAGATTATTTTTTATTTCAATTGGTAGCTAAATACATAAATAAAATAGTATAACATGCAAATTATATAACAATAACAATAATAATAATAATAAATAATAATAATAATAATAATAATAATAATAATTAATAAAATGCCACTCCAATGTGCGAGATAGCTCAGGCTAGCCAACTGTAGAACGGCGCCGGATCTTGCTATTCAATGGGTAAATATCATTGCTACTTCCCTAGGAAAAACATGCATTATACTTACGGAACTAGTGGCCTTAGCAGTTGACGGGCTATCCATAATTTTCAAAACAGTATTTCCAACTAAAGTCTTTGGTGTCATCAACTACGATAGTGTCAATTATGAGTGTTTCAACTCAATTGTTTGACCCAAAAAATTATTGTTTTCGGTGAAATCGAAGAGTGAAATAGGTCTGAAATAACTAATAATCCAATAGCTATTTGGCTGTCCGGGAGAAAACGCGCCCTAGTCACAGGTGCCAAAATTTCGGCTGCCATTCTGCGACCGTTCCGCCAAATAAGGTCTACGCCCCCTCCAACTCTCAACCCATTTGCTTGGCGTTGTTGCAGGGACCATGGGCTGCGGACTGACGTGGGTTGACTCCATGCTCAACCGGGGCTTCTACCAGCTGGGGCTGCTGGTGGGCCGCCACCCCGGCTACTTCCTCGTCATCCCCGTGCTGCTAGCCGGGCTGTGCGCCACCGGCTACCAGCGCATCCAGTACCAGATCGACCCCGAGTACCTGTTCAGCCCCGTGGCCGGCGAGGGCAAGGCGGAGCGCGCCATCGTGGAGAAGTACTTCAAGCCCAACTACACCAGCCGCTTCAACGTGGGGCGCATCACGCGGCCCGGTGAGTGCTCCTGCCACACGGGGCGCTATAGACGAGGAAACCGCGTTTCAACTGTCTTTCCGTCATAATGGTGGAAAAGAAATTAGCCATTAATTCTGTGAAGTTCGATACTTTTTTTTTGTTATTTAAGGTGGCATCAACTAGTTCATTAGCGACCACTATCGCGTGTAACTATGAGGATGACACGATATGATGATGATGATGATAGGGGTGTGAAAGGACGAACACAATACAACCATGCCCGAGGTGGGACTCGAACCCGCGGTCTTTGGGTCCGAGATACCTACGGCACTACTGCCTTAGCGATCTCGGTCATCCGGCTCGGCGAAGTTCGATACTTGTCTAATCAATTTGTGGGAAACACATTGAACATTAATTGATTAAAGCACAGACATATCGTAATATGAATAACTGTCCAATAAAATTGAAATAATTATATTAAAAGATTTACTATTAATACTTTAACCAAACTGGGGCTCGCGTGAAGGGGTCTTGGAAAAAATCAAAACTTCTTGAATTATAGACCATAAAACGAAATTCTTAAAAAGTTACAAAGATACAACAGCAATTTCAAAATTTCATGGATCATTTTCCGAGTATATCCACGCACAAACGACAGAAAAAGTTTTGTAATTTTGTCGTCGCGCATTGTGTTCTTTCAAAAAATTACTACAGTTTTTAAACAACTTTGTATTCAGACAAAATATGAATAGATTACAGAACAGAATAGGCTATTGACAGCGTGTATTACTGTTGTTTGTCCGAATCCTGGGCGAAGTATTGACGTTTTCACCTTATGAGAATAAAACACCAGCCTAACCCATCGCGAATGTCACTACAGCAACCAAATCATCGTTAACGATTTCTCAATTCAAATGAAAAAATAATGTCTCTGAACCCAGTCTCAAACAATCATTCAGGAATATCTCAGAAGAATATTTAACCGATCCTTGCAAAATATGAACCGGTTCAAAAACTAAGGAACAGTCTTGAAACATAGGAAAATCGATTACGGCTAATTTTAATCGATTCTTTCAGCCACCCAATTTGCAATGGTCATTCAATGTTTTCCTCAATTAGTGCTTCGTCAACATTTGTTATCCCGTTGCTCGTGGCCCTCGCCGACGTCGCCGCCCCACCCAGACGAGCACGTGGCTGCGGGGCGTCCCCGCATCTGCCCGTGGGAACACGTGCCCGCTCTTCCACGCATTCCGTTCCGGGTGTCGCCCGGCCGGGCCCAGCTGGGCGCCGGGATGGCCCCGGCGATACAGCTTTCGCGATAAGGGCCGCGCGGCGCGCATTCAGAGCGAGGCAGGAGCCGGCGGCGGCGGCGGACCGTTCGTCCGGGATGCTTTACGACGGTGGAGAAGCACATTGTAACGGTGCGGTGGACGTCCGGTGAACCGTAGCGAGTGCTTGGGAAACGAAGGATTAATTTAATATTTGATGTGAGGTCGGATGTGGTCGACGTTCGAACATGCGGCCGCCCGCCTTCACTTTTCTTGACTGAGCCAAGACTTAGTATGCTGGCTGTCGGCTTCAGATATATTTTTCTAATGTTGATACAGTATTGACTTAAACTTTAAATATAGAGCATTTTAATTATATTATTTTAAGTGAGGAAACTAGGTATGTACTAAAAGTTCAATAGAACCTTGCAAATTCGAACACTGCAAATCCGAAATTTCGGATAATCCGATCAAAATTCGGAATGGAGGAAACATAAACAAAATAAATAAAATGATTATTAGTAGTTTAAAGGACTTTATAATTACTGTAGGAGTGAACAACTAATTATTGAAACACAAGTAGTTGAAATGAAATTTTTATTGAACTGGTACCTACGGTGTATATCACATGTTCATGTAACAGTAATTTTCACTTAGAGGAACTTGCAAAATCGGTAATCTTCTTTTGTCGTAAAGAACTGAATCTCCTTGATGCGATGTGATGCGATCGCTACGCTACGTTGCCATTTTCTCATATCGCATTGCATTGTCTGGTAATCCTATAGATTTGTACATGTACAGTACATTTTTTCGGATAATTCAAACATTTCCAAATCTAAACAGACCACATCCCCAATTAGTTCGGATTACCGGGTATTCTATTATATATATACCACTCCAGGTAGAGAAATTTATATAATCCTTCGCTAAAAGGTGCAGATATATCGACAGAAAAACTCTGTTTGTAAATCCCTGATACTTTAAAAGATTATTAGTCTTGCTCATATGTGCAGTAAAATACGTAGCCAGAATCCACCTGTTGTGGGTCTTTAATACTGAAAAAGATGTTTTTTAAATGGCCAGCCTGCGCCTAAACTATTTGTAAGTTTTTTGTTTTTTAATTAATATTCTTCAGCACACATGGCTCATTCACAGGACAATATAAAATAGCTAATTTCTAATTTGATAAAAATAAATCATATTTTCAACCATGCAACGATGAAATTCAAGGAAGGAAACGTCCATAATTTAGCGATGGTACTTCTGAGTATGTTACGTCATTTGAGCAATAAATCCTTCTCATGACTTGGCAGAAAAGTCGGAAGTAACATATATAACAGAACAGCATCGGATGCACACTTCCCTACGAATATTTCGTTGGATAATAGTGAAACGGTATGCGTATTATCCAACAATCGAAATTTCTCGAAAGCCAGTTACTGTCTGCTTCCTAAGTTCCTCGTAAGTAAAATAAAACATATCGGACCGCGTGATTTGTAGTTGCATGCCAGCTCGAGTATCCCTTCGTTGCTCATTCTTCGCGTTTCACTCACTGCATTTAAGTAAATAAATCATGTACTCGTACGCTTGATTACGATAGCGTATGGGGTCGTATGTACGAGACCGTAGCCAAAGCTTTATATTCCGGAAGTTTATGGCTTCGACTCCCTGACAGTGGTGTAAGTTATGACGGCAGCTAAGTAACCAAGTCCAAAAGTTTATATTGAATAAGAGTCCAAGAGTCCAGATACACTAATTTATCGTTTCCATGCTTGCCTCCAATCAATATCAGAAGCATGTCCGAGCAAAACTTTAAACAGCAGACAAGCGAACGTGCGCGATCTTTTCTTCCCATCCTTATTCCACTTCTTTTCGCATGGCCAAAAGATGGGCTGGACCACCATCTTCACGATCTATAAAAGCTCTGCCAGTACTAGTAAGGGGGTGTCAAGTTAAACTTCATGGTTAATTTCCCCTAGAAAGAATATATGAAGGGATTGGGGCAGTAACAAAATGACACACCACTTCGACTACAATACTTAACATTAACGAACAGTGGGAGACTCACAGTGGCTGGTGTAGCTATCTCGTTTCTGCCCCATCTCGTTCATGTCTCTCGTTCATGACTTATCCATCCCACTATCCATTTCGTGTATCTTCAAGTTTCCTCTATAAACCATCACCAAGCAACCCTCCATGTATCCCGAGTAGTTCTGCATTCCGTTGGATAAGAGAGAAAACAGCATGCGTACCTAACAATCGAAATTTCTCGAAAGCCTGCTTCCTTCCTGGGCGGCAGCGGAAGTGGAATAACTTGGACGTCCGCGTCCCCGGAAGGGCCAGCGGGGAGCCGTGGGGAGCCGTGGGGTGCCGTGGCGTGCTGCCCTGCGCCCGACACCTTTACTGCGGAAAAGGAAGCCCGTGTCGGGGCGCGTGTACCTCGGGGACCAGAACACGCGCTCGCTTTCAGGCACCAGGGCGAAAGTGTAGTGGAGCCCTCCACTTGTGCGTTTTCTTGCCCAAGAGCCTTCTGTTTCGTCCTTTTACCCGACTTGCGCTCAGGAAGGAAGGTTATGGTTTCTCCCGTGGATGTTGATCCTAATAAAGGGATTTTGAAAGATCCCGGAACCAAACGAATTTTCAGCCTGAGAATGCCGTAGTGGGTATTTACGGGCCACATGGGTTGCCACCTGAGCAACGAACAATACTTCAAGTTCAGTTCCAAGATGATTGGGCTTACAGAAAACTCGGAGTTTAATCTGTAAGAAAACTTTTGAGAATGTCCAATTTTTTGCTACAGAAAACATACAGTTTGGCTCAAGCGTCCCTAGCGACAGAATTGTTCACCGCCTTATTTGTTTACAGCAAATATAATACACACATTTCAATTTTTGGATTACGTTACGTGAGATTCTTGAGATTTTGTTTACTGGTGTGACGTATTCAGAGTTCTCGGTGAGTTTATTTTACTGGCACGTACGAATGTGAGGTACTTGACCTTTGGATATGCAGCAAAAATATCATACATTCGGAGCGGATTTTTCTGCGTATTGCTCAAATAGTATAGTATAGCGTACGGTCTTTCTATTTATTATCCTGTTTTAATAATACTTTAAACCCATAACGTAGGTACACAAATGCCGTCAATGAATGTTCCCGGAAAGCGCAATTCATTTGCATGCCGGAAGAGCTCCTGGCAGCGTTTTGTGGCAGCTCGTACAGACAGCGTGCAGACTTTGTAAACACATTGACGACTTTGAGCTTTGTATACTTCTAGTTTGAGACCTTGAAGTTTGGGTCTAGTTTCCTTCTGAGAATCTGCACAAAACCGGCGCCGTGTAAACAGGACTTTAGGTGCAGAGTATCGCTAACAGAGTGGGGCCTGATGTGCTCAAACTCACCAAACAAGCAAGGAAGCGACTATAATCAAGAGCTGGCTCTTGACTAGTTGGTAAGACTGTGTTGAAAGTCACGTGGGCGGCGGTCGGTGCCAGTGTGTGTCTGCTACATTGTTGTGATAGGCCCATGTATGTATGTACATATCTATTACTTTGGTATCTGCACATTGAACTTAGCATCTTTATACATTGTGGCTGAAAATTCCGTTATGTCTTTTCTTTCTTTTTTTCTGTAATGCGGAATTTTTGTCATCCGAGGTACCGTTATGTCGCTTATGTCGACCAATTATGTCGGAATATCGCGACTCTAATTAATTGTCAACTGGCGTACATAATATTACTTAGTTGCGTAATTAAATTAGTATCTATTTTC